CCCTCCAAAGATGACAATGTTTCATTAAACACAGGAACAATTAGGGGTGGGTGTCTTTATGATCCAAGCTTTATATGGGGGAAGGGAGAGGTGACTTAGATGGGTCACTTCAGGGAGACTTCTTCCTCTTGCAGTAAGGCCCCACCAGGTATGCAATGATGGAACCTTTACAATTCTTGTGTGAGTAGCTTGTGTGATGACAAATAAGAACTAAAGCCACCGGCCTTGCTGAGAGGAATGGAGTTTATACATATTTTCTCATTTATCCAACAAATATCTGTTGCCTGCCTACTATACACCTGAAGTAAAACATTTGCTAGCAGCTGATGATACAATGGTGAGCAAGACACAAGGACTTCTTCAAGGGTACCAAAGTCTAATGGAGGATATGAAAGAGTAAACAGGCAATTATGAAACAGGGATAAAGGGCTTTGATTGGGATAAACCCATGGAACATTGAAAAGAAACATCTGATCCAGTCTTGTGGGATCAAGAAAGGGTTCCTAGAATAAGTGAGATATGAGGCCTGAAGGATGAGGAGGAGTTGACCAGAAGAGTGGAGAGAAAGAGATGCAGCTTGGAGAGTGTAGATAGTGCAGAGAACTGAAAATGAGCACAGTGGAGGGCAGCAGAGGCCAGAGCAAGGATGACCTCCTCAAAAATCACACCAAAGGAGTTTCACTGTATGCAGTTGGCAGTGGGAAGCATGAGAAGGTTTAACACAGAACAGTGGAAAGAAAAGGATTTGTCCTTCAGAAAGACCTAGCTCCAGCAAAGCAGAATAGACTGAAGGGGGTAGAAAATAGAAGAGAGCGTCTGCCTTGGGCTCAGGATGGGATCGTGGGGTCGCACATTGGGCTCCCTGTGGGGGGCCTGCTTCTCCCTCTGCCTGTGTCTCTGCCTCGCTGTGTCTCTCATAATAACTAAATAAACAATCTTAAAGAAGAAAATAGAAGAGAGACCTGGGGCACCTGGGTGGCTCAGTCATTTCAACATCTGACTCTTGATCTTGGTTCAGGTCATGATCTCAGGGTTGTGAGACTGAGACCCACTTCAGGCTCTGAGCTGGGCAAGGAGCCTGCTTGATTCTCTCTTTCCCTCTCTTAAAAAAAAATGAAAAGACTCATTAGGAGATGGTTTCAGTAAGCAAAATGTGGGGTGCCGTGGCTGGCTCAGTCAGAAGAGCTTGCAACTCTTGATCTTGTGGTTCTAGTTTGAGTCCTACATTGGGTGTAAAGATTACTTAAAAATAAAATCTTTAGGGATCCCTGGGTGGCTCAGCGGTTTAGCGCCTGCCTTCAGCCCAGGGCCTGATCCTGGAGACCCAGGATCGAGTCCCACGTTGGGCTCCCTGCATGGAGCCTGCTTCTCCCTCTGTGTCTCTGCCTCTCTCTTGGTGTGTCTCTCATGAATAAATGAAATCTTTAAAAAATAATAAAATCTTTAGGGATAGCTGGGTGGCTCAATTGGTTAAGCAGCCAACTTGATTTCAGCTCAGGTCATGATTTGAGTGCTGGGATCAAGCCCCACATTGTGCTCTCTGCTTCAGGATTCTCTCTCCCTCTGCCCCATCCCGTGCTAGCGCTCTCTCTCTCTCTCTCTCTCTCTCTCTCTCTCTCTCAAAAGAATCTTTAGGGCAGCCCAGGTGGCTCAGCAGTTTAGCGTCACCTTCAGTCCAGGGTGTGATCCTGGAGACCCGGGATCGAGTTCCATGTTAGGCTCCCTGCATGGAGCCTGCTTCTCCCTCTGCCTGTGTCTCTGTCCCTCTCTCGTTCTGTGTGTCTCTCATGAATAAATAAATAAAATCTTTTAAAAAAAGTCTTTAAAAAAATAAAATCTTTTAAAAAAGTATTTGCAACTATGTGGATGGAGCTAGAGTATATTAATGCTAAGTGAAATAAGTCAGAGAAAGACAAATACCGTGTAATCCCACTCACATGTGGAATTTAAGAAACAGTGGAACATATGCAAAGAGGTTAAAGGAAAAAAGGAGACAGAGAAGCAAGCCAAAAGAGACCCTTAACAATAGAAAACATACTGAGGGGATCCCTGGGTGGCGCAGCGGTTTGGCGCCTGCCTTTGGCCCAGGGCGCGATCCTGGAGACCCGGGATCGAATCCCACGTCGGGCTCCCGGTGCATGGAGCCTGCTTCTCTCTCTGCCTGTGTCTCTGCCTCTCTCTCTCTGTGTGACTATCATAAATAAATAGAAAGAAAGAAAGAAAGAAAGAAAGAAAGAAAGAAAGAAAGAAAGAAAGAAAGAAAGAAAGAAAGAAAGAAACATACTGAGGTTTGATGGAGGGAGATGGGCAGGGGATGAGTTAAATGGGTGATGGGTATTAAGGAAGGTACTTGTGATGAGCACTGGGTGTTGTATTTAAGTGATGAATCACGGAATTCTACTCCAAAAACCAATATTGCATTATATGTTAATTAGGTAAAACTAAAAAGAAAAAAACGTAAGCAAGATGTGGCCTGGTGATGGTCTGAAAAACTGTAGAGCCCATTATGTCACTTATTTCTTTGCCACTCTATGAGGTAGGTATCATCACCCCCATTTTATGGATAGGAAATCCAAGGAACAGGAAAAATAACTTACTTGTCCAAGGATGCATGGTAACTGGTGAGACAGCAAGTAGAGAGAGCAAGGTTGGACAAAACTGAATGACTGAATGACTATGCCACTAATATTTATTGGTTTGGGGAAGGTGCCAAGAGGAACCAGGAGCTGTGGAGTATGATATGCAAGTTTCTAGCTTGGACAACCAGGCAATGGCTGAGTTAAGAGATACAGGAGGAGCACCTGGGTGGTTCAGTGGGTTAAGCGTCCTACTCCTGGTATCAGCTCAAGTTGTGACTTCATGGATCCTGAGGTCAAGCCCTGCATTGGGCTTTCTGCTCAGTGGGGAATCTGCTTGAAGAGTTCCTCCCTCTCTCTCTTCCTCTCCCGTGTAGGTCTTCTCTTTCTAAAATGGATTAAATAAATACATATGTACGTACATACATACGTACATACATACAGGAGAAACAGCTGGGGGTGGTGGTTGAAGAAAGTGGTAAGGTCAGTTTGGGGTTTGATTTTATGTTGCCTGGGTAATTTCCAAATGGAGGTGTCTACAAGGCAGCTAGGTGCAGAGGCTGCTGTGAAACTCAACGTGAGATTTTGAGTTCATTAGCAGGGATCTCTCTCAGAGGGAAAAACAAAACCACCTTTGGAAAAACTGAAAATGATACAACTTTGAACCAGAAGCATTTAGGAAAAGATATAAAAATGGAATTAACCATGAAACGATTTTAGGTTACAAGGTAATTTTCATCTATTAGTTTCACTCCTCGGTTGTTTTTCACTAACGACCTTTTTACCTTGAAGTCTCCCATAGATGGCGATAGCCCAAACTACCATAGAGATGGGTATCTAACCAATGCTTGCTTCAAAAGTCCATTTCTCCCAGGGCATGGGAACTCCTTTTCAAACACCAAACTTTTGAAACAGTAGGGAACCATTTAACAAATTATCACTTCAGTGTATTCATCAGTGTCCTAGTGGCCTGGAAGCAAAGCCCTAATCTAGCCTCTTAGAGAACAGCTCACACAAAAGGAACTCTGCTCCATTATAATAATGGTGAAGTATTAACATATCAAATACCCTTAGCGCGGTGGCTCCAGGTGCGCCCACATTTTCCTTTAACTTTTCCTCCCAGAAATAAAAGTTATTGAATGTGTAGAAAGGAAAAATATAATTAAAAAATGTTTTGATAAAATCTCTTTTCCAAGTCTTGGCTATAGGGTTACAATTTTTCTTCCATATTTGTATTTTCCCCCCAAGTTAAAGCACTTCTACTCCCTACCTCTGCCTCGAATGGCCCTCCCTTTAAAGAAAGGTTTCATAAAATTACTTGTAAGTAATTTGAAAATTGTGGCCACACCCTAGTAATACATAATCACTGCCTTAGGCAAACTGTGTAACTGTGTCATGAATAGAAAGCCTTTGACTGTTTCTAAAATGTATCTGTTCTGAGATCTCAATACTAGTTCAGTAGAAATTGTTTTAGCATTTTCAACAGATACCCAAAAATATCTCCTTAAAGGAACACGGGCTTCTCTCATTTCTGCTTTTAGTTGTTTGTTTTTTTCCTTCTCCAAAGCTAATGAGGTGCTCATACCAAAGATTTCCATGCTTTTTGCCACTAGCCCAATCTTCATAGGAAACTAGCCAGATTTTTGCATCTTTCTAAAGTACGGCAATATCCAGAGGGCTCACCAATGTGTGAAAACAACGTATTCCCAAATTTTCCCAAGAACATCTGTATAAATGCATTAATGTAAAGACAATTGTGCCCCATTTTAATGAATCTGATGAAAAGCCATTTTATGAATCAGTGCTGGATTACTAAAATAATTCTCAGTTTTTTGATTTTCAAAAATTATACTTTTAATTATAGAATATTGTTAGAATACAGATGTAGATAGACACTAGCATAACTGCGACCAATACCATACGAAAACTGCTCTACATACTTACTTGTTCACTCACTCTCCACAACCATAGAAAAACAGGCACAAAGCGTTCAGGGTATGCGCAGAAGCAGCCAGAGACTTGGGAGCAGAAGACATGCAAAAAGCATTAGCAAAGAGAGTCTGATGCATAAGTTCTACACAAATTTCAACATAGCAAATGGGCAGCAATTGGGAAAAAGAGAGGAAACAGCTGGTGTGGCCCTTGCCTTTTTAACTTCCCAGCTGAAGTTTACATGTATGGAGAGATGGCTGGGGCACTTAAAAGCCTCTTCTTGAGCCACTCACCTCTAAGAAGCCAAAAGCAGCAGCAGCAGCAGGAACAGGTTGCAGGGGGCAGGAGAGTAGAGAAGGAAAAGGGAGTGATAGATACTTGGGTCATGAGGATGCTGTCTTCTGTGGCCGCTCCAAAGCTGATGCCCATTGTGGCTCACAGAAACAACAGGAGAACTTTTGATATTCATCAAAACCATTAGCAACACTGATACAGGAGAAGACATATTTGAGTTTAGTCATCAAGAACATGTAAGTCATTCAACAATTAAAATATGAATACCCGCAGTCGGCTAGATTTTGTATAGAACACAAAACATACTCTCTGCCCGAGTTGAGTTTGTTTTTAAGTGGGAGTGGCAACATAAAGAAACCTCCTTGATGGAGTGGTGTTTCATTTTGTTACTTTCAAGGTTGTGTCACTGCAAACAATGCAGTCCCACACAGTTGAAGGTCCTAATGACTCATTTTCGTATACCCCGAGACCACTGGCTCCTTAACACACCAAGTCCCAAAGAGCTATGGCAGAAGTATTTTTAAAATGTTACAACATTCACAATAAAGCACAGTAAAAATAATAACTTGGGGCACTCTCAAAAATATATATATTCCTTACTCTAGTCCCTTCACACTGCCACCCCCAAATGCCTGGGTAAGCATCAACATCTGGGGTAGTGCTTAATTCCTATGTGGGCTGGGATAAGAACTGACTCTAACAGGCTTAAATTGGGTCAACTCTCATTTTAACCACATGTATCTGTAAACTGAGAGGATGGAAATACATTCCAATCTAGGTTTATTAATTCCTTGTGACTAGGCCAAAGAGAAGATAATTCAGTCTGAGAACAGAACAATCAATCTACCCAGTCATTATCTCCCACAATTGACTGATAACACATAAACAAGTGCTTAGTTCTGTACAAAGACAGATCTTACAGGAGAGCATACACTAGAGCACTAGTGTTTAAATTTTTTCTTTAGAAAAAATGGAAACAAAAGGACATTTCTCACATTGGAATTGTCTGTAGTTTTGTCACATGATCAACATCACCCAAGAACATGCTAATTCTGTGTGAATTGTTTCTGCTACTGAAAAAATTACAGGAATACACGTTTTACTGTACATTACACATGCCCTTATGCAAGCCAAGATAAACACTGGGATGTGGCCCTTATCAAATCCTAGAGTTAGCAGTATAAGGAGAACTGATCTTAAAGGATAGAAGGGGGAAGAACACAGAAAGGACTGGTGGTGTTCCTTGGGGAGGAACTTTGTTTCCTTCCCTGAAGTGGTCAATTCCACTTGCTCCTGACACTACACCATTAGTATGGTCCTACCTTTCCTTGAAGACATTTTCCCTACAATGTTTCCTACAGTGATCCCCAAAGAAAATGAATACATTTTGATTAATGGCAATAACAACAGTGGGCATCTCTTACTAAAGTCACCGCCACTGATGAGTCCTTGGTCCCCAAACCTGTGTCTCATTTTTCCTTTAATCTGTATCTTCAGTTAGCTTTTGCAAAGATGCAAGCTTTAATACAGTTAAATTAGAAACAATGCGGAAAAGTTTTGATCATTGCCTTCATCATGCAGAATCTTGCCCTCAGGAAGATGGAAAGATACAAATGTATGAGCAAATCAAGGGAAAAGCCTTTTGAAGGGGAAGATGTGTGTGCCCAAGTACTATGGAGAGTGAATAGGTGTGGCAATTCAGGCAGTCTCTGGTTGTCTTTTTCCGAAGCAGCTGTGACCACCCTATTACAGTCCAAAATTTCCCCTAGCATTGTTCTTTGGGCCAAGGATGAGAGAAATAACTTTTAAAGATTTACTCCATATCCAGGCCTGAATATTTACCAGCATTTATCCCCTGGCCTTCAGATTCCCAGTTACTTGTGGGGCTGAATTTGATGAAGTACTTCATTAATATTGAGTGAATAAAAATCATTACTTTGGAGGAGGGGAGAACATTCCCAGAATTGTGGGTCAGAATTACAAATGGCTTATCTTCTTTGATATTTTAAACTGTGGCCCACAAGGAAATTCAGTATGGTAAAAGCAGTTCAGTCTTCAAAGAGCTGTTTGATATCAAATTAAATTGTACCTTCAAATGAATCCTCTCTTGTAATTATAGGACTTAGTCAGTGTGAACTCTCTTATGTTTAATAAGGGCTGAGCTCCGACTGAAACTCTTCTCACATTCGGTACATTCATAAGGCTTCTCTCCTGTATGAACTCTCTGATGTGTGATGAGGTTGGAGCTCTGAGTGAAACCCTTTCCACACTGTACACACTCATAGGGCTTCTCTCCCGTGTGGGTTCTCTGGTGTTTAATTAAATCTGACCTTTCACCAAAGCTTCGCCAACACTCGTTGCACTCGTAGGGCTTCTCTCCGGTGTGAATCTTCTGGTGTGTGATGAGATGAGAGCTCCTACTGAAGCTTTTCCCACAAGCATTACATTCGTATGGCTTTTCCCCAGTGTGGGTTCTCTGGTGCTGAACCAAGTGCGAGATGCGGCTGAAATTCTCCCCACATTCATTACAGTGGTAGGGCTTTTCTCCTGTGTGGGCTCTGCGATGGCGCACTAGGTCAGAGTTCTGACTGAAATTCTTCCCACACTCATCACACTTGTAGGGCCTCTCCCCCGTGTGGACTCGATAGTGTTTGATGAGATCAGATCTCTCGCTGAAGCCTCGCCCACATTCATTACACTCATAAGGCTTTTCACCTGTGTGGGTCCTCTGGTGCTGAGCTAGGTGAGAGCTCCGACTGAAGCTTTTCCCACATTCTTCACACTCATAAGGCTTTTCCCCACTATGTGTCCTTTGGTGCTGGATTAGGTGAGAGAGCCGGCAGAAACTCTTCCCACACTCGTTACATTTGTGGGGCTTTTCTCCAGTGTGGATTGTCTGGTGCTGAATGAGGTGAGAGCTTCTTCCAAAACTTTTCCCACACTCATTACAGTCATAGGGCCTCTCCCCAGTGTGTGTTCTTTGATGCTGAATAAGGTGTGAGCTTCGACTAAAGCCCTTTCCACATTCATAACACTTATAGGGTCTGTCTCCAGTGTGGGTTTTCTGATGTCGATTAAGGTCTGAGATCTGACTAAAGGCCTTTCCACAATGAGAGCATATATGATATCGGATGCCTGTGTGGACTTCCTTGTGAACAAGCAGATCAGTAACTTGTTGAAGAGGATAGCTTACCCATTCTTCTGCTGTCAAATCTCCCCACTGTCTTTCTGGTCTATCCCCGCTTTCAAAGCCCTCTTCATTTTCAGCATTTTCCTCAGTATTCCCAACAGGTCTTTCAGAAGCAGTCCCAAATTCTACATCTTCACTAATCTCCTGCTTTGGATTTACCTCATTCTCACTCCTGATCTCAAAATCTGTAATAAAGGGTAAAGAATAATAATACTCGCAAATACACACACAAAAAATTTATCTACTATGTACAGGCATTGTGCTAAATTCTTCACCAGAATCACCTCCAACCACCCTGAGTCGGGCATCATGATGATGATTTCCACTCTGTGAATGGTAAATCCAAGACCCAGAGAAGTGAGTTGGACAAGCTCATAGAGTAGTAAATGGTGGAGCCGAGATTCAAATCCAGGTCTGTCTGATAACAGTTTATGCTTTGTACCACTCAGTTAATGGTTCTTTACAAAAATTGCATATATTCCTGGTGTTTTGAAAGAAAAGAGCCAGAAACAGAAAATATAAGAGTCTCTATATTAGAATCTCTAAAAGCCAAGGGCCTAGATATTTTATGTGTGATTGCGTATGTTCTTAACTTTTCAAGCCTTCATTATTACCATTATCTAATAGTTACTAAGAATCTATTCGGTTAGCATGGAAAAAACAATTTTTTGTCTAGCTATATCAAGTCTTAGTTGATAGGAAAGGTGACTGCCAAACATTACTTGCTACTTTCCAGCGGCCTTTTAATGTGAATAGAGAAGGGAAGGTTGGAAAATGCAAAAACAATGCCTGGCTCAGAACATTCTGAGAGAACATTCTGACATTAACAAAATATAGTCTTCAGAAAATGAAAATACACAACTATTGTCTACAAGAAACTTTAACTGGACACTGTATTTTCCAAGTTGTGTTTCTTAGCATACTCTTCAACAAAGAGGTTACTAGGTATCCTGGGAGAAAAGGGCCTACAGATAAATTCGTTCAGTAAATGTTGCATCCAACAACCTCTTCTTAGAAATTCACATGCCATTTAACACATTAAAGTTTCTGAAGAGTCTTGGGGCTCCTAGGTGGCTCAGTCAAGCAACAGCCTTCTGCTCAGGTCATGATCTCAGGGTTCTGGGATTGAGCCCCGCATCAGGCTCCCTCTGCTTCTCTCTCTGCCCCTCACATCACTTGTTCGCTCTCTCTCTCAAATAAATAAATAAAATCTTAAAAAAAAAAAAAAGGTTCTAAAGGGTCTTGAGGTAAGGAAACCTTGTAAAAATTATTTAATTCAGTTCCAGGGATCCCTGGGTGGCGCAGCGGTTTGGCGCCTGTCTTTGGCCCGGGGCGCGATCCTGGAGACCCAGGATCGAATCCCACATTGGGCTCCCGGTGCATGGAGCCTGCTTCTCCCTCTGCCTGTGTCTCTGCCTCTCTCTCTCTCTCTGTGACTATCATAAGTAAATTAAAAAAAAATAATAATTCAGTTCCAAACTTAGTTGGGAAAGGAACTTGATTTTCTATGTGTAGGTTTCTTCCATGCTGCCATCCTTTGAACAAGTGCCCCCTGAGCTGGACCGTAGCCAGTTCAACTCACAATTCTTTAAGATTCTCACTTCTTGTGTAGCCCCAGTGGCTTAGTGGTTTAGCGCCACCTTTGGCCCAGGGTGTGATCCTGAAGACCCGGGATCCGGTCCCACATCGGGTTCCCTGCATGAGGCCTACTTCTTCCTCTGCCTGTGCCTGTGCCCCTCTCTCTCTCTCTCTCTCTCTGTGTGTGTGTCTCCACGAATAAATAAAATCTTTTTAAAAAAAAAAAGATTCTCACTTCTTGCTTTTGTTAGATCGAGTAGAATATTTGGATCAGAGACTGCAATACTTCTAGCTAAATAACTTCATTTCTAGTTGCTTTTCTAAAGGAAAGATCCAAAAATCTTGGAACATCAGGAAGAGCCCAAGTTTAAAAGGAAACCCCTTATAGTTGTTGCCTTTTGTTCTGGAAAAGGCTGGAGAAATATTTCAAAACAACAACAAAAAAAGAATTAGTTCTAATGAGTGGCAGATGACCTAGTAAACCATACATGACTGCTAACTTCTGTCAAGTCCTACCAGGAGATGAAGTGAGTCAAAAGACTGTTCAGCTCAAGGATATACTGTTTATTCTAGTTACACTCAGCACAAAGGATAGCTAAGAGAAGACAGGTATGCAGACCATCAAAAAAAAAAAATAGCTTCCCTTCCTCATAGAACCTGTGATCTGATTTAGTTCATGATTCTCCTGGAATAATATTTGATGCACTCAAAACCTATGACTGACTCTGAAACATCTCTAGACAAGTACCTGCTCCAGATAAATAAAGGACCTCAGGCACAGCCAGGGCTCTGAAGCCAAAATAAATACAAAAATGTGGCTTTTGCTCTTCCATTAACCTGGGTGAGAACCCTCCTCATCTTCTAGTAAAATCACCATTTACAGGGGCCTTGACATCCTGGCACGCACCATTATGTCAGACCTGTTTGGTCAGTGATCTGTACAAACAGGCTGGAGCATGGTGGATGACTCAGGGCACATGAAATCTGAAAGTTTCTAAAATGGGCAGAAACAGTCTTTCTTTTTAGACAGTATGACCTTGGTGTACCTGCACTCAGAGATTTGCCGGAGGACTCAACCCAAGCCAACTGCCAAGCCAATTGCCAATTAAATGCTTTAAATATCAAACAACTAGCTTGCAATGAAAGAGTCAAGCCACTTTGTGAGAGTCTTGAAAACGTGGGGGTGAAAAAAGAGAGAGAAGAATCCTTACTTACCTAGTGAGACAACATTTCCGTAATTCTCCTGCATAACATCCCTGTAAAGGTCCCTTTGTGTAGGGTCCAAAGGTCTCCATTCTTCCCGAGTGAGGTACATGGCCATATCTTCAAACGTCACAGGTGCCTGAAATCACACAATGCTTCCTCATTACTTGGTATCTGGGGGTTAGCACCAGTTTTTCTTCTTGCAATTAGAGACATGGCTAGAATTGTTGAGAAGGAGAAAGGAATGAATTCTGATCTGAAGAGTCGAGAGAAGAAATAAACAGGCAAAGAAGAGACGTGGTAGAAAAGGGAGCCATGTACCAGCTGACTGCTCTGGCCCCACGACCAGATCGATGTCCCTGCCCACTGCACAACTTCGTCTTCTAGCGGTACTCTTCTCGGAACACATGCAGCGCCTACGTCACTCCACACCTTTACTCCATCGCTCCATACCTTTACTCACAATGTTATCTTTTTCCCGGAATCTCTTTCTCAGACTAGTGAAATCTTACGATTCTTTTAAAGGCCCTGTTCCTGTACCAACCGTTCCTCAGTGCCCCCTATCCACCTGCTCCGCTCCACGCCTCCCTCGGACTCTAGAATTAATCATTCCCGCTTCTTGGTTACCGCACCACGGCACTCTGTTCCTACGACAAATAAAGCCGTTATCACGTTGAATCACGGTCAATCGGACGTGTCTGTCTCCCTACAGACCCGTAAGCAGACGGGGAGGGTCTGTTCCATCCATCTTTTTCGCCTCTCCGGTAGTTAAAGGCATACAGCAGGTGTTCAATAAATGCTAATTGGTGGCTATGCTGGCCTGGTACTGAGGCTCCTAGACGCGCAACACCAAAGCGAGCGAATTACTAATCCCAGGGCATTTCCAACAGGGATCTGCGGAGCAAAGAATCGCCGGGACAAGGCGGGTAAGCAGAGGCAGGGTCCGAGAAGCCACCCCCGGCTTACCTGGGACCCAGCCATGAGCAGGGTGGCTGCCATCTCGGACTCAAGGGTTCGCCTCCCAGAAGAGAGAGCAGGAAAAGCAGCTAGCAGACAGCGCTAGAGGAGGCGAAAAGCAGGGCGTGAGGCACAGAAAACAGGCCCTGCCCACTCCCCAGGTCTGGAGTTCTGGCCGCCAGGCGGGTGGGGAGGGCCCTGGACCCGGGCCGGGTCACTCTCCTCCCTGACCCCGGAGCGCGACCCGCCCTCTGTGTCTCCGCCACCGGAGGGTGGAGGCACCGCCAGAATCTACTAAGACAGCCCCCTGGCTGGGGCCCTCCCGGGCCGGGGTCAAGCCGACGCTGGGTCGGGGAGGAGGCTCTCAGCCCAGCCCACAGAACGCCTCCGCTCTCCCACCTCAAGGCTGGGCCCTTTCCGGCAGCTACCTCGACCAATCAGCGAGCAAAGCTCGCCCAACGCTCTGCCAATTAGATGCCGCAAACTAGGCCCGCCTCTTGTAGCGTGGCTGAGCACCTCCATCACGCCTGCGCGGGCCCCCGTGGCCTGCCGGGACTTGGAGTTCCATTCCGGCGTACAAAGGCCGGTCAGAGGCCAAAAACCGAGGAGGGAAAAGAACAAAAGGGTGAAGAAAGAAGCGCGTCCTCCTAGCCGGGGCGGAGTATCTCCCGCTTTCTTCTCTTGGAGACCGCAGCCCGACTAAGCCAGAGGGGTTGCCCTGCATCTCCCCGCGACCTTAGAAGCTTATCTCGAGTCGGGCCTCAGCTTCGACGTCGGGCCTAATTCAAGCGCTTGGCCCGTGTTGGGTTCTTCTGGGATGAGCCCTCATTTGACAGCCGGGCCCTGAGAGGAGAGTGGCAGCCGCCCACTCCCCAGGGGAGACTCGGCGGCCGCGCTGGAACTTTGAGCTCCGCCCACGCACTACGTCTCCCAGCAGCGCCTGCGGCACTCTCACCGGCCACTCGGACTACAACTCCCGGGAGGCCCCGCGCCGCCCGTGCGCTGGCTAAGCGCAGTCCGCGGCCGGCCAGGCGGCGGCCCGGCCCGTCGCTATTAACCCTATAGGGGCATCCAACCTTGTCCTCCTAAAGAGGGCGCCCCTTGAGGGACCGGGTGAGTTGCGCCCGGCGGAGGGGAAGCGAACACCCTGAGGAAAATCAGAAGTGAGGGTGGGGGCTAGGGCGCCTGGGGAGGAGCGAGAAGAGTTGTCCTTATCATCCCTGAGGCTTGCCTCCCAAAAGGATTTCTGGCGCTGTCCTGCACCGACAGGCTCTTGGGCCTCCGAGCGGCCCCTGACCGGCTGAAGGTGGGAAGCCGAGAAGCCGAAAAACCGAGTTGGGAGAAGAACAGACTTACCTCCTGACCCGCGAAGGGCCCACTAGATCGCCGGCTCCAGGATCCGAGAGGCCTCAAACAGATTCCACATCCGCAGGCAGAGTTCCCTGAGACCCCGGGGTGTTTGGAAAGATTCTGGAGCTCAGTGGCAGATCCCGGATATCTCAGCCCCGCAGGTCGATCTCAACCCCGCGGACTTGCAGGCGAAGCTCAAAGATCGTAGGCGGATCCCGAAGACTCGCAGACAGCTCAGGGAAACCACAGACTCCCCGGCAGATCTCGGAGGCCACAGCAGCTGGCCAAGACACACCAGCAGCAGCTAAGCTGCATTCAGCTGGAGCTCTTCCGAACGGAAGGACTCGCAGCCTTCCCTCTCCCCAGCCAGGATGAGAAAATTAGACAATGGGAGCCGAGCACTGGGGAAAGCAGGCATTCTGCGTGGGGAAGCGCTCTGAGCTCGCTGTAGCCTTGGAGAGGGAAGTGATGGAAAAAGAATATAGCAGCTTATTAGGGACTCCCACCCTCTTCAAGTTATAAATATCCCCAGAACCTTGGCTACGTGCCCAGAAGCCTGTTGTCTCTAACTTTACAGGAGACTTCTCTGCCTGGGCTGGGAAAGGGGCTTTTCTTTTGTTTTGCAGATACATCCACCCACTGAGTGACTTGAATCCCCCCCACCCACCCCCAACATGACTCTAGGCTATGCTTTTATTAGTGAGTGTCCTGTTCCCAGTACCCAGTTATTTATGGTTAAATTACTCAAGTGTCTAAAAAGAACTAGGACCCTACCCAGCCATGAGGCCGACTCTCTCACCCCCACTCCTCTTCTCATCCCCCAGCTGTGAGGCTAGGAATTCTTTAGGTAGCTCAGAATCGAACCATCCTACCCCATCTGAAATTTATTTGGGTACCCCCCCCAAAAAAAAAGGAAGAAAGAAAAGGGATTTTAGGGGATCCTCAAGTCCTTGAGAGACAATGTCCATAGTAGGAAGAGCATGGGGTACTGAGTCAGACAGACCTGAGTTGGAATCCTGGCTGCCTGTCCTTTAGATAGTCATTCACTCTCTCCAGGCCCATTTCCCTTTCTGTAAAACAAGGCAACCATGGGATCCCTGGGTGGCGCAGCGGTTTAGCGCCTGCCTTTGGCCCAGGGCGCGATCCTGGAGACCCGGGATCGAATCCCACGTCGGGCTCCCGGTGCATGGAGCCTGCTGCTTTCTCCCTCTGCCTGTGTCTCTGCGCCCCTCTCTCTCTCTCTCTATCATAAATAAATAAAAATTAAAAAAAAAAGGCAACCATACCTCAAGCAGTGGTGAGCACTAAGTGAGGTGACATAAAGCACTCCACGCAAAATGAACACTCAGATGATAGCTGTTATTATTATGAATCTTGCTTTTGGTGGCAGGGGAGACTTCCAGAAAGGCCTGTGGATATTTTCACTGGCTCAGAAAAATCAAGGAAGTTGGAGTGGCCCAAGAGTGTGAGAATCTGCTGGTGACCTTCACCTCACATAGTGTTTCTGCTGGAAATCCAGAGGGAATTGGAAGTTGGGCCAGTTTGGTGAATTCAAGCAAGTTGGTAGATTGAGCCCAGTAGAGCAGAGGTATTTGAGGCTGCCAGAATCCAGCAAGTCAAGGCCTCACGCTCAGAGAAACTTCTGGGACAAGGAAGGGGGGGGGTGGGGGTCAGTTCAGACTTTGGCGGAGTAATTGCATGTTTCTAATTGGGCCTAAGGTGAGTTGAGCGCCTGAGCCTCTCAGCCCAGCAGGGCTCCCTTTTCATCCCTTCGCTGACAGATTGCTTTGTAAACTTCCTTAGGCCTCTCTCCCCCCTTGCTCCAGTGCTTTAATTCCTTCTTTGTCCTCTCGCTGTTTCTTTTATTCCTCAGGCCTGCCTGGGGGCAGGACCACTCTCTCTCTCTCTCTCTCTCTCTCTCTCTCTCTCTCTCTCTCTCAGAGCCCAGCTTGGCTACTGGCCTCTTTCTGTAAGTGCTTTTCTCTCTCTTCACCTGGAACCCTCAAGAGGGTGGAAGAGAAGAGAGGCTGAGAGCAAAGGGAAAGCCCAACTGCATTTGGTACCCTTGGGGAAGAAGGAGAGGAAAGACAGTGGGTGAGGGGCTTCCTGGTGCAGCCTTCAGTGGGACTCTGAGGGTTGGGGGGTCACTGGAGAAGGAGGTGGCTTCCTGCCCCATTGTTCAGGACTTCATTGTTTCTCAGGAATACTTATTGTCTGTGAATTTTCAATAATTAACTTGGAAAGCTGCATGTGTTCCCATCATTCAGCAGACCCCGAGCATCTACTGTGTACAGAGGTGGCCGCAGAGCCTCTCATTCATGGAAAGGGGCCAGAAGAACCACTGGGCCAGGGTCTCCAAGTTAGGCTTTGGACATTATCTCCAAATGCGGTTATACATTATGTCAGCTCCACTGACCAATTTGATCAAAGACCCTCCTTCTGTGTCCTTAAGCTTGTTTCTTACTAACAGGCTGCTCTGCCTGTGGAGCACTATAAATTATTATATTTTAACAAGTCCTATAATCCTCTTGTAAGCAGCACAATTACGGTGTGATTTTTTTTATTAGAAGCGTTAATTTATTAAATATGGAAAAACATGCCTCAATATTTATTTGTGAACTTGTCTTGCCATCTCTTCATTTCCAAATATACTAGGAACATCAAAAAAAAAAAAAAAGTGCCCCGGGCTTCTCTTGATCCCTGCTCAGTGCAGAGATGAAGCGTCATCCCGGCACAAGGCGCTGGGGACATGGGGGACACACCAACTCGTTGCAGTCCAAGTGCAGTAGTATATGATGAGCAAGTCTGTGCAGAGCAGGGGGCGGACCATAGCAGAGGGTAGGGGAGGAGGCTTCACAGAGGAGGTGACATCTGAGCTGGCTTGCAAAGACCGTAGGAGTCTTGGAGGTGGAGAATGAGGGGAGGGAAAGCATTCCAGGCTTCCAGAACAGCATGTGCGAAGTCAGGGAGGCGTGAAAGGACAGAGCTTGTTCCAAGATGGCCAGGATTGTGCATGGCTAGAAGGAAGAGTGTGGGGGTGGATGGCAGGGAGAGGAGGCCGAGCAGGGACAGTCTCTTACATCTCCTTGCCTGCCTTTCTCAGCCTTTGGCCGTGGACCAGCAGAGCTGGTGATGAAGTACAGATGGGGAGCGGCCTGGGGGCTGGCAGGGGTGAGAAGAGCAGATTGACTCTGCAGGAGGAGGGGGAGTGGAGAGGACTGGGAAGTTCTTTAGGAGCTCATGAATTTCAGCTGGTTTTCTCCCAAGAGGATCAACATTTTCCAAAAATGTAAACAATTGCATTAAAACCATACAACAAACTTATTATGAGTTAGCCTACCTAAAGGCATTCAGATAGGCCCGTATTCACCAAACATGCTTACTGTGTCTCACTTCTGTACCACGCACTGCTGGGGAGATAGGACACGACCCGTCACAAGGACCTCGGGGCTGCTGTGAGGACTAAAAGTGAGAATGGTGGCAAAACACCGGCACAGGGCACCATCATTGTTACAGTGAGGAAAGTAAAACACATCCCAGACGTTCTGTGAGATGAAGCCATATTTCAAAGTGGTTTAGAGCATGAACAGGGGCCTGGGTTCAAGGCCAGATTCTGTCTCCTAGAAGCAAATTACTCTCTGAACTTTGGTATCCTCAGTTTGTGAAAAGAGTATGATAATGCGGGGCACCTGGGTGGCTCAGTTGGTTAAGTGTCTTGAGTTTGGCTCAGGTCATGATCTCAGCATGCTTCTCCCTCCCCCTCTGTCCCTCCCCCTGCTTGTGCTCACTCGTGTGCACCCACACACTCTCTCTCTCAAATAAATAAAAAAAATCTTTTAAAAAAGAGTATAATAATACAATTCAGAGAGACAGAAAGCAGAATAGTGTCTGCCTAGGGCTTGGGGAGGAGGGAATGCAGAATTGCTTAATAGGTATAGAGGTTCAGTTGTGCAAGATGAAAATGTTTTGGAGATTGGCTACACAATGATGTGAATGTACTTAACACTACTGAACTGTGTATATATTTAAAATTGTTAAGATCGGTGTTCACTTTCTCAGCCCAAATACTGAAATTGGAACAATATAGAGATTAACATGCCCCCTGGGCAAGGATGACATGCATATCCGTGAAGCATTCCATTAAAAAAAGGTTAAAATCATAAGTTTTATGTTATCACTATTTTCAAAAGGGGCACCCGGGGGTGCCTGGGTGCTCAATTATGTGTCTGACTCCTGATTTCAGCTCAAGTCATGATCTCAGGGTCATGGGATCACCCCTGCGTGGGGCTCCAGGATCAGCGTGGAGTCGGCTTCAGATTTTCTCTCTCCTTCTTCTTCTGCCCCTCCCCCTATGTCTCTCTCTCTTTCTCTCTCTAAAAGTAGATAATAATATCTTTTTTTTTAAAAAAAATGGGGGCACCTGGTTGACTCAGTCAATAGAACTTGTGACTCGATCTCAGGGTTGTGAGTTCGAGATGTTGGGTGTAGAGATTAACTTAAAAATAAAATCTTTGAGGGGAATCCCTGGGTGGCTCAGCAGTTTGGTGCCTGCCTTTGGCCCGGGGTGTGATCCTGGAGTCCCGGGATCGAGTCCTGTGTTGGGTTCCCTGCATGGAGCCTGCTTCTCCCTCTGTCTGTTTCTCTCTCTCTCTGTCTCTAATAAATGAATAAAATCTTAAAAAAATAAAATCTTTGAAAAACAACACAAAAGAGTATAAGAATAGTAACCAAGTTAGTAGGGTGTGAGAGTTAGTGGGGACAATATAAAGCAAGTGCCTATACCCACAGTAATGGCAATCGATAACATTTACTAATCAAGTACTTTGTATCAGGTATGATTGTAATGAATCCTCACACCCCTTTGAGCCAGGTGTGATTATTACCACTATCCTACAGATGAAAACCAGAGATAGAGAAGTTACATCATGTGCCCAAGACCTGGCTAATAAATGCTCAATAATTAATAGGTATTATTGATACTGTGATACAAAGAAATCCTTATCATCATCATGGTAGAATGCAGTGTAATTAGGAAAGTGTTACAGCACTGTGGGAGTTCTGAGAATATCTCTTGTGGCCAGGGGATTAGAGAAGACTTCACAGAAGATGTGCATCTGGGGAAGGAGGCATGCAGAGGGGTGAACTCGGTAAAGAGGATTAAGAGGTACAAACTTCAATTATAAAATAAATAAGTTGGGACCCCTGGGTGGCTCAGTGGTTGAGTGTCTGCCTTTGGCTCAGGGCATGGTCCTGGAGTCCTGGGATTGAGTCCCGCATCCAGCTCCCCTTGGGGAGCCTGCTTCTCCCTCTGCCTATGTCTCTGCCTCTCTCTGTGTGTGTCTCATGAATAAATAAACAAAATCGTTTAAAATAAATAAGTCATGGAGACAAAAAGCACAGCATAGGGAATATAGTCAATAATATCGTAATAATGTTGTACAGTGACAAATGGTGACTATACTGCCTGTGGTGAGCACTGGGTAATGCATAATAGAATTGTTAAATCACTATGCTGTACAGCTGAAACTAAGAATGTACGTTGACTATACTTCAATTAAAAAAACTAAGACACACACCTGAGGTGAGGCTTGAATGGGTGAGATTGAGAGGGCCAGTGTGTTAAGAGGAGAAATCCAGGGATCCCTGGATGGGATTAGCGCCTGCCTTCGGCCCAGTCCCACGTCTGGTTACGTCAGGCTCCCTGCGGGGAGCCTGCTTCTCCCTCTGCATGTGTCTCTGCCTCTCTCTCTCTCTCTTTCTCTCTCTCTCTGTGTGTGTCTGTCTCTCATGAATAAATAAATAAAATTTTAAAAAAAAGAGGAGAAATCCAGATAGACATTTGGTGATGGAAGACTTAAACCCAAGGAATCTCAGCGGTAAAGACAGAGATTTGGGAGTCTGGATGAGCCTATTAGGAAAGACTTCTCATGCAATATGGTCTTACAGGTTCCTGTAACCTTTAGAAAGTATCTTCTAAGTTGGTCATCAGAATTGAACATACTTTATTTTCAAAGTCCCTTGGCCATGATGTTGCAGGTGAGAAGGCCTCTCGTCCATCCAAAGCATGGCCTCTCTGTTTTACCTTCCCTGACCTTGTCTTTTTCCTCCTGGAAGGTAGCAATCTCTCCTCCCCTGGGAAGCCTTCCTGGTGGCAGAAGTTCATGCTAACTGCCTTGCAGCTTGCCCCCTCTGTGTCTTCGACATGAAGGAGGAGAGGGGGTTAAATCATGAATCCCAGCCAACAGGCTGTGTGCAAGGACTGTGTGACAAGAAAGAGCACCACATGGCCATGTGGCTGGAGGACCCAGGATGGGGGCAGGGCTGAGGAGCCAGCCCTGCAGGGCCTGTGGACCCTGCCAGATGCAGTGGGGGAGAATGGAAGAAGGCCTGAAAGGCAGGGTGGTGGCGTAGGGGACTGAAACACGATCAGACTTGCAATTTTGAAAAGCCTATCCCGGCCAGCACAGGGGCGAGCATGAACTGGAGCGGGTCCAGCAGGGACACAGGAAGACCAGTTAGGAGGATACTGATGAACACAGTCTGAGGCCTATTCATGCTTTTCTGTGTCCTTTTGTGAACGTAGATGTGTATTGTACTGTATAGATGTGCGGCTCTTGTGCTGCTTAAACTGACTCATCTCCTTTGTAAACAGTAAGGTTATTGAGGGTGGAGATTCAGTGTTTGTATTTTTTCCTGTGCTGTAACTCCCCATGATACCAGGAGCACAATGGGTATTGAGACTGTGACTACTCAAAGTCACCCCCAACGGCGCCACCTTAAACAGCCCCAAGTAACATTTATCAACACAGTTATAATTGGTGATTGTTGCTTTGGGTTTCTAGACATTTGGATGGAGGATTCGATCATGCAAAAGAAAAATCTGGGTATCTAAGCCCTTACTACTCAAAGTGTGGTCTGTGGACCAGCAGCATCACCATCACCTGGGAGCTTGTAAAAAATAAAAAAATATCAAAAAATTTTAAAAAATAAAAATAAATAAGTAAAAGTTAAGGGGCACCTGGGTGGCTCAGGGGTTGAGCATCTGCCTTTAGCCCTGGGAGTGATCCTGGAGACCTGGGATCGAGTCCCACGTCAGGCTACCTGCATGGAGCCTGGTCCTCCCTCTGCCTGTGTCTCTGCCTCTCTGTGGTTCTCATGAATAAATAAATAAAAATCTTTTTAAAATAAAAAATAAAATTTAAATTTAAAAAAATGGGGAGGGGGTTTGCGCCTGGGTGGCTCAGTCAGTTAAGCATCTGGCTCTTGATTTCCACTTAGGTCATGATCTCAGAGTCATTAGATCGAGCCCCAACTCACAAGTTCTGGGTTGGGCATGGAGTCTGCTTGAGATTCTCTCTCTCTTCCTCTCCCTCTGCCCACCCCACGGCTCCCTGCCGGTGTGCAGATTTTCTCTCTCTCTCTCTCAAAAATAAATAAATAAATAAATAAATAAATAAATAAATAAATAAATAAATAAATAAATAAAAGTTAAAAAAAAAAAGGAAAGAAGAAAGAAAAGAAAAATCTTAGCATTCCCCACCCCCGGGGCCGAGACCCACTGATGCAGAATCTGCATTTTAACACGATCCCCAGGGGATTCCGGCCCCTACTGAAGTTTAGGAAGCACCTGGCTGTGTTAGCAGGAGGGCTCCACACTCCTGTGAGTAATATTCGGACCTCAGGCATGGTGTTTATCACATCCTGTTCCCTGTGGAAGACTGCTTAGGGTTTCTTTCCCTGCCAGCCCAGGAATTCCTGGAAGGTAGGGGCTAAGCACTGTGTACGGCTCCAGAGCTTTCAGAGCATTGAGCACAATGACAGGAAGCAGAAGGCCAGGGTTTTGGTCCTGGTTCTGCCATTTACAAGTTCTGTGTGTTTCGTCTTTTGTGAGATTCTTTTCGTCCTTCTGAACGACCCACCCCAAACCCGATTATTGTAAAGCTGAAGATGGTGGCAAATTTCTAGGCACAGTTTCCTTACAGGTTTCACCTGGAGGAGGAGGCACTTGATGGGTAGAAGGAGGAGGGCAATGTTCAATTCCAGAGTGGATGATGCTGGGGCATATAAGGAACTTGGGCGGAAATCACTCCCAACAGCTGCCCTAAGAGTAAACCCAGGAGTACGAGAACCAGGGGCCTCTGCACCATCACCCTGTGAAGTAGGCACTCATGCCACTCCTGTATTTACAGGTAAGAAAGTGGCCCACAGAGGTTAAGTGACTTCCCCAAGCTCCCAGGAGCTCATGGACTCCTGCACTTAGGCCATTTAGGAAACACAGAGTCCAGAAGGTTCAGCCTGGGGCTGTCAGAAGGCAAGGGACAGTCAGAGACTGAGACCCAGGACATGCCCACTGACCCACTCCCAACCATTTTCCAGAAGGTTCCAGATTTTCCTAAAGCTTATCAGCTTAAAAAGCAAGCCAGTGTCATTGCAGGAAGAGCATAAGGTCCCTTATGCCCTGTAGACTTTCTCTGAAGCTCAGGCCACAGATAGAGCTATGAAGGGTGCATCACCAGGGCCTGGGCAGGTTCTGAGCCTCAGGATCTCCCAGAGGCTGCAGGCTTGGGCATCGCTGTACCCTTCAGTCAGAAAGCTGGAGCCAAAGATGATCTGCTCCCTGCCTGAGGGACCAGGTCTGGAGTCCTCCAAGGCCCCCGAAGTCAGCTCTGACCAGGGGAGTAGCAGAGAGTCTGGGAAGAGATCTTTCCATATGGCATGGGAGTCCCATCTGCCTATGCCAAGCTCTGTGCCAGTTGCTCCACACGTGTGACTCTGGGGTAGGATGGGGTAAGATTTGTTTCCGACTGGTATTTTTCAATTCAGAAAAAGTTGAGAGGTTGGGATGTGAGGGAAGGGACTGACTCCAAGCAAGGGACTGCCAGCCCACAGCCCCAGACATGACACCTCAGCCATGAGGCTCTGAAGTCTCTGAGTTTCTGCAAGAGGTCTATCGACACAGACTCTTAGCTTTGAACCCCCGTTAGGCTCCCCCATTAGCGAATGAATATTAATAACTGATTATTAATTTGCAAAAGAATTCTCCTTCTGATCCCTAAGACCCCAGTCAGAGTTCAGCATTTTTCTTCATCTTAATTTTTATTTTTTTCTCCAGCTACAATGGCTTAGTGCGTTCTCTTTGTTCTTCCTCACCTTGTTCATTGAAATCCTGGCTGGCGGTTCTATCAGCAGAACTACAAAACCAAAAAGGCAATACAATTTTAGAGCTCTCCCTGTGTCGCCCAAGGAAGCCAGGGGGAGGGGGAGGGGACGCGAAAAAGAAGGTAGTGTCTGGAGCCACGGAAACCAGAGTCCAAATCCCAGCTCTGCCCTTACTAGCTGTGTGGCCTTGAGCAAATCACTCATCTGTGAAATGGGATCATAATGCCGGCCAATGTAAGAAGCTAACAGGTAATAAATCATAGGAAATGTGATGCATGTAGTGGGCTTTTAATTCATGGTCAAAAATGTCATGTGATTATTACTAATCAGTTGGTTAAACTTTAGGCCTCCCATACGGCAATGGATACTTCCTGAAATGTTATCAGAAGTCATGTATCTGCCATCTCTAGTGGACCCTGCCTCTCCAACTACTAGGAATGATGGAGGGGGAGCTGGGTTCAGAGCATGCACAATGTCCTTTTCCTAACAGTAATAATCACAAGAGCTACCATTTATCGAGCACTTCCTCTTGGCTGAGTAATATTACATCCTCGTGATCACCATATAGCACTCCCATTTTCACAGGTAAAGAAGCAGTTCAGACAGGTTAAGTGACTTGCCCAAACTCCCATAATACTAGTGGGTAACAAACTCAGAACAATAAGGATGGTGGTTCCTACGTGCCAGCACATATGTGCTCAGGGATTTTTTTTTTTTTTGGTATGGTCATACAGGTTGTGCACTGCACAAGAGAGCATGCCCACAGGACAAGTTGGGGGTGAAACCTAGCTCCTGCCGTCTTTGCCTAGCTCTGTGGCCTGGTGCAAGGCTATGTCTACTTGGAGGCAGGAAGACCTTTTTTATTTGATCTAACAAAGATAACATATGAGCTAACAGGTGCCCTGTTAATGCTTTATTTATATTACTTTCCCTAATTCCTCAAAACAGCCCTGTAGACTAGATATTAATACCCCCATTTTCTAGGTGAGAAAATTCAGGTCTGGAGAGTTCAGGTCACTTAGCAAAGTCACTTTGTAAGTGATACAGCTAGAATCTGAACCCGATGCCAAAGCTGATGCTCTAAACCACTGGGCCACTAACGTGGCCCCATCCCTAAGTGCTCAATAGGCAAATAAAGGAAAAATACTCAATCACCTGACTTTTACCTTAACAAACACAGCAGTTCTAATGAAGCCTCAGGGCCATCAAGGCCCTTAGTAAGGTTGCAGAAAACTCAACCCATCGGGAATTTGGAGTATTGTCTTTCAGCGCTCCAAACTGTGTGGCTTTATGCTCACTAAATATTTTTCAGTAGCTCAATTTCCTCGCCTGAAGGTGAGAGTAATATTGTAAGGAACGCTTCTCATAGTTGTTGGCAAAGTGTGTGCGTATGTAACAACCTACACATCGGCCATGGGAGGAAGGCATGATCATCGCCCTTCTGCTCAGGGAGGTGAGTGACACGCTCAGAGCCACACAACGAGTAGGGTAGAGTGGGACCTAAAACCAGTGTTCCCAACGACTCCCAGTCGGTCGGGGGCTCCTGGCTAAGTGCCTCAGAGCTTCTGGAGCACCTGCAGCCTGGTGCTCAGGTGGCCCAGACATCACGCAGTGCATGTGCGACAGGAAACTGACATTGATCACATAATCGCATTGAGTTTTTTTTTCAGAAGACGGGGCAGGAAGGAGCACTCTGCGAGGAGTCTTTGTTTGGCTCCCACGCCTGAAAACAAAACCTCTGCCTTTGCAGGGGCTGGGACAGCCCAGATTATAGTCTTGGGTAATGTAGGCCTTTTCCGGAGCTGTCTTACGAAGGGAGGATGACCTAGGAGCATTTGGTGGCAATGTCCCCTGACAGGGCTCAGCCTTCCTCTCATCCCCAGCTGTGGCAGGGTTCAAAGGAAATCCCATCTGTGAAAGCACTCTGCAAAGAGGTGCGGTCCAAATGCAGAGTGCTGTTGTTTTTCCTCCCCTCTGTGGATCTCAGGAGGCTGACTGCATCTGTGCTCAGATGACAGACTTGCCCATCCTGTGATAAAATGTGGGCTGCTGCTCCCACCCCCGCTGGGTGCCTTCCAAAACAAAAACACGCACATGCACTCTCTCCCCGCCTCCCCAACAACCACCCGCCACTATCTCCAGCTCTGCAGACCCACTCTGCACAGGCTGGTGAGCCCCCCTTCTTGGCTGTGGGTATAGTACTCCTTATGTGGGGCAGCAGCTGTGGATGACAGGGGAGGGAGAAAGTTAGAGACATACAGACCTTCCAGCGATTGCCACATTCATTGCATAAGACAAAGGTAGTCATGGGCTCATCAGCACTGCGTGTCTGCACCTGAGAGAGAGAGAGGAGAGAGAGAGAGAGAGAGAGCTGGACCACTCAGGAATTCACCCCATGCTCTAGGACCTGCCATAGCTCCCACTGTCTGTAGCAGTAGGTCCAAATCCCAGAGCTTGGCACCGTTATTCTCGCCCTACTCCAGCCGTTCCTTCATCACTGAGAACTCCATAGCGTAATACTCCCCTCCCCGGACAGGGCCATTAGCTCACCTCCAGTACCTCACTGGCTCAACAAGCCCTCTGCACTTTCACTTTTGTTCTTTATCCTTCCAAACCCATCTCTCTTCTCTTGCCTCAAGGCTCATCTCCTACAGGAATTATTTTCTGACTCATCTCTCAACACACCCTATCATCTATGCCTCACTGATCAGAACTTCAGGAGCTGGAAGCAGCCTTAAAGATCATCTAGTTCTTTCCTTTATTTAGTTACTTGCTTTTTTTTTTTTTTTAGTTACTTGCTTATTTATTTAAGTAGGCTCCAGGCTCCACGCCCAGCATGGAGCCCAATGCAGAGCTCAAACTCACGACCCTGAGATCAAGAGTAGGGACGTTTAATTGACTGAACCACCCAGGTGCCCTTCCCTCATTCCTTATGTTAGGGGCACAAGACTTGAGCCCCAAGACTTGAGGCCCAGAGAGGAAAAGCAGTCTGAAGATCACTGGACCACTGGGACTGTTTCATGTCACGTTTCCTAGTTCCTCACGCCCTCAACCGAACCAGACAGATGCAGGAGTCGGGATTCCCACAGCAAATCCCTTGGATTTGCAGATTTAACAATGACAGTCCTGATTTTCTACAGCCAACCCTGGATGACCACGATATGTTACTTTGCAGACACTCAGCTCTGAATGGGATGTGCGCTGGGAGTCCATCCCCCGGGCCCTGAGCAAGCCCAGCACCGGGCCAGGAGGCCACAGCTTAGCGCAGTCGCCTTACTGGAGAACGGTAACACCCGAGGGAGGATAACCCTGGGGTTTCTCTGTGCAGAGAAACCTTGGCTAATGGGCGGTTTACTTCTGGGGGGAGATGATGCACAGAAAGCTCATCGCTGCACATGGAAATGTGCTTGGAAGAAAGCAGGAGGCTGCACCAACATCTCTGAATCCCTGAATGGGAATTCTTTGAGACGCTCCTCCAGAATGGCAAGGCTGGCTGTATTTCCGCTGCAGCCACAGATTCCCGCGGGCAAGGTGCTCTCGATAAATCTTGCTTGCCCAGCAGATGGAAGAATGAATAGAGTTCTAGAATGACCAGGTATGAATTAAAATCCAAGCATAGTGGTGTCCCAAGAACGTAATATGTACAACCCAGAAACAGAAGGTGGTTCTTGGGGTTTGAGTCTTTCAGAGAAGGGGCCTCCACAGCCTTCTGCGACTCCCTGTGCTGGGACAGTAGTCCTCAGCCTGAACACCTGGGGCTAAATGCCTTCAGCTTGGCTGCCACGTTGGCTGTACTGCAGGCAGGCAGAAAAGTCTCGATCTGGGTTTGTTACTACCTCTGCCATTTATGATGGTCTTGGCCATCTTGGACAAAGCTGCATACCTTGACCCCTGTCTGGGTCTCAGTTTCCCTGTGCATAAAATGAGGGAGCTAGTTTTCTATGGCTAAGTCTCTTTCTGAGCATCTGTGACTCTACAGAAGTCCGTGACTGGTCCTATTCTTGCTACAGGTCAGGCTAGAGAATGCTGGCCATGTCTCATAGACACAAGCCTGGGTGATCTTACATGCAGGAGAACATTTTCTAGAAGCCACAGGTGCATCATGGTGGTGGACTAAGACCTGCCCTTCTCTCTGCAGTCCGGAGTTTTAGCCCTTTCTCCCCCGGGCTCCCTGCTAGGCTGCCCCTGGTCCTCCACCTCCGACGCCCCCGTTGCCCCCTCTCCCGCACCTGGTTATAGGTACAGTTCTTCTTCTTGCATTTGCTGCACTGGAAAAGGTCAGTGGTGGTGCCGCCTGTCTTGGCCATCTGATGCTCACGGATAGCTTCCTGGGTCATGGCATTCCTCAGTTCCCTCAGCTCATCACTGGCCATTTCCTGGAGAGAAATGAGTCTGCCCCTTCAGGGCTAGAGAGTCCCAGGGACCCTGTGCCCCACCCGGCTTCTAGAGAGCCTGAACGGAGGAGAGGGGAACATGCTGGATTGAGTATAAGGAGCTGGAGGGAGGCCTGGACTTCTGGCCTTGCCCCAGCTGGGAAAGGGCTATACCCAGAGTCTCCATTCTGCTTTGGGTGAAAGGGCAAGCCTGTAGGCTGACAGGGCCAAGAGCAGGAGGGCACGTGTGGGAGAGCAAAAGGCAAATAGCTTCTGCCCCAGAGTCAATATCTTGTGTACATTTCCCCAGATCCGGTGCTTACCCTGCCTGCCAAGACCTTGGGTACCTGCTTGAACCTTCCTGCATGAGCTGTCTGGGCCGTGACCCCCTGATCTGTGATGTTCCCCTTATCCGTCCAGTCTGGACTTGGCCCAGTGCCTGTCCAAACTGTGATCACTGCCCAGTCTATTCTGACTGCTGGGAAACTTGACCTCAACACTCCATGACTTGCTGCAGCCACCTTGACCCAAGCAGGACCGGAAGCTCCTGGGTTCACACAGCTAACTGCTCACCTGCATCACAGAACATCTTTTTCTTTAAGCTCCTGTAGAACAGAACGTCCTGTCTCCCATCAGCTCACCGCAAACACTCAGCATTTGCATTATCCAGGTCCTACCTTTATCCATCTCCCTGGGCATTTGACTCCCCTTAAGCCTCTGCCAGAAGACAGGAGAGAAGGGAACACAAACTGGAGAGACCTCTAGGTAAGGTTGGTTTGGGGGAGGGAGGATGGCCAGAGCTAATGTTAAAATGAGGACTTGGTGCTGGCTAAACATTTCCATTGTTGCTATCTATCCCCACTCCTTCAACCATGGAAAACAGAGTTGGCGCAAAGATCAAGTGATTGTAGCATGCTGACCACTGCATTATAACCACTTGGGCCTCCTGATGAAATGCAGAGTCCTCTGAATCCAAAATCCTAAGGGCAGCCCCAGGAATTTTACTAGTCTGCCCTCATGTTATTCTGGTGCACCCAAATGTTTAAGTCCGACTATATTAAGTTCAAGGACTAGGTCCTAACCACTGGCAGGTGTATACAGAAAAACAAGCCAATCCAGGGTCATATAAGCAAAAAGCAACTAACTTTAATTTGGGGAGAAATCCAGGGGATAATGCATTCATTCATTCAAAATGTATTGGATGTCAATTTACTGAATGCTTTTAACTGCATTTTGTGCTGGTGAATGGGGCCTTGGCCTTCGGGGTGCCTGGTTTGTAGTATTCACCAATTTCCATGGTGTAAATGCTCCTACAACAGCCAATTCAAGCTACTAACGTCATGTAATCGAATGCAGAGCTGGAAATAGCTACACGGAATCACCTCTCTTGAGCTACTAGGCACTGACTCCCTCAGACGGCTACTTCTGAGCCCTGAGGATTCAGATAGGAAGATTTGTTTCCTGTCCCCAGGTCATGTTAGTCTGGTAGAGTGGCCAAGTATTCAGACAGGATTGCGAGATAGCGAGATAGCGTGAGATGTACTTAGAGCGGAAGAATACTAAGTACAGGGGGAAGCCCAGAGTAGGATGGCCAGCTGCTTGGGGGCAGGGGAGGCTGTTAAAGAAGTTGATGCCTTAACCAGTCTCGAAAGATAAGCAGGAGTTCCCAAGAGAGACAGGATTCTAGAGACAGAGAAGAGTAGACGCAAAAGATCAGACAAGAATAACAGATCTTTGGGGAAGGACGTTTGGGGTGTGTTCAAGATGAGAAGTGTGGGAGACGAGTGTCTCAGTGCTGGGCGAGCAGGTTACAGATAAAACCCCTCTCCTCATGGGGCTGATGGTATATCCACTCAACAGGTCTAAAGCTCATCTTAGAATCGATTCCACTCTAGGATACGTCTGAGTAGAGAGGGAAAGAGGGAAGGAAGAATGAGGGAAGAATTAGGAAGACACAGGATGCAGAGAGGGACATCTCCATATAAGGGCATCTGCTGTCCCAGGCTCTTGCTAATGGCAGCTCCCTGTCCCCTGAGCCAGAGCACAGCAGGCCGCCCAACCCCAAGCTGTTATTTTTCTTATTGGAGCAAAAATGGTCTTATATTTCTTTCTTTTCTTTTTCTTTTCCTTTTATTTTTTCTTTTCTTTTTCCTTTTCTTTTCTTTTCTTTTCTTTTCTTTCTTTTTCTTGTCTTATATTTCTTAAAGAAACTTCCTGCCTGGAGCAAAAGATGACCTCAGGATGAAGGTCTCTGCATTTGATGCCTGGGCTGCTAGCTAGCAAGGGGGTAGGATCCTCGGTGCCTGGCCCTGTGGAAGGCCTGGTAAGTTCTTGGCTTGCTCCTCTTGGTCTGGTCAGCCTCTTCTTGGGCATGGGTTGACCACCTGATTCTCTTGCTCTGTTCTAGTGAATGGTCCTTGGGTGGGGCCAGACCAACTACATATCTGAGTTGGCCAGTTCCTTTGCTGGGACTTCTGGGGCCTTTGTGTTAATCCAGACACTCAGCTCCATTCTGACCTCTAGCTTCTGGGAACTTCCTGGGTTTGGCTCAGACTTGCGCCTAGACCTTGCTCTTGGTTCTCCTGGCCTGGTTTCCCCTAGCCTTGAATTGCCTGGAAGAGTCTCTGGATAGCATTCCTACAATGCACACACAAAGAAGTAAAGGGATCCTGGAGCCAGACAGTGGGGGACAGGAAGGAGGAAACACAAGGCCAGGTTTCCATAAAAGTCAAAGCTTCTCCTTGCAAGGAAAGAAAAGACACTGTAAAGCCAAGTTGCAATTTGTAACTCTGGGCATATGTTGCTGGTTGCCTAAAAAGATCAAATATTTTGAATTGAGCAGAAAGATAACCCTGGTCCACCTGTGCCAAGTTCCCCTATTTTATGCTAAAGCCGGGGCTCACTCTTGTTTTGGGTATTTGAGGAAAGCAGTGAAGAGAGAAATATACATACACCTATCACATCTCCCCACCAACACACACCCCTGCACCCCCCAGACATATACTAAATACCAAACACACTCCATACATTACACACCCCACACACATCACACATCATACATACTCAGCACACATACCACAAACACACAGGCACACCCTCGCCAACAGTTTCAGAGGGCTCCCAGACGTCCTGAGGCACAGCCAGACTCCAGGATCCCGATGCATTTCCCTTTCCCTTGTCTGGGCCACTTTGATTTAGTGGGGCTTGCAGGGAATCCCCTTTATCAGCTCTGGCAACAAAGGGCCACTTTATCTGAGGGTGCACAAAAGGGGTTTCCAAGAGGTAGGGCTCCGAAATAAACCGATCTGGGTTCAAATTCTCATCTGTCACTTCCTAGTTGTAGGTGGCTTCAGTTTTCCTCATCCACAAAATGGGTACAAATATTTCCCTTTTCATAGCATGGTGCTCGGGGTTACATAACATGGTCAGTAACTAAACCTATCATACAAATTCTGGGGAGGGCTTTACGTATATTAACCTAAACACTCATATATATTAACTCATTCAATCCTTCATGAGATAGCTATTATTATTATTATTATTATTACTATTATTGTTATTATTATTATTAAGTAGTTTCCACGCCCTGCAGGGAGCCTGACACAGGGCTTGAACTCACAACCCTGATATCAAAACCCGAGCTGAGACCAAGAGTCAAATGCTTAACCCACTGAGCTACCCATGCGCCCCATGATAGTTATTATTATTTTGTTTTATAGATGAGAAAAGTGAGGCCCAGAGAGGTTAAGTAGCTTGTCTAGGATCACACAGCTAAGTGAGAGAGGCTGAATTCAAACCCATGCAGTTTGACACAGTCCTGAAGCTTGTAACCAGTGTGCACACTTCCTTGAACAGGCTTGTTTCCTTTTCCTTCCCTTCCTGACCCCTCAAGCTATAAATTCCTAGAGTGGCTCTATCATGGCACTTACCACCTCTGTATTGTACAAATTTGAAATTATGCCTGTCTCCCCACCTTGGACCTTGTTTCACAGAGACAGGCACGGCTGTTTTGGCTTGGGACCAGGACTGAACAAGACAGAAGAGGGAGGCAGATAACAAAGCCATAAAAACTGGGTGGTCTGGGGCCAGACGGCTTGCCTCCTGGCTTTGACATTTTCCTTTTTTTTTTTTTAAAGATTTATTATTGGGATGCCCAGGTGGCTCAGTGGCTGAGCATCTGCTTTTGGCCCAGGGCATGATCCTGGAGTCCCAGGATTGAGTCCTGCATTGGGCTTCCTGCACGGAGCCTGCTTCTCCCTCTGCTTGTGTCTCTGCCTTTCTCTGTGTCTCTCATGAATAAATAAATAAAATATTTTTTAAAAAAAAGATTTTCTTTTTTTTTAAAGTAATCTCTATACCCAACGTGGAGCTCAAACTCCCAAGAGTCCCTGGGATCAAGAGTTGCATGCTCCACCGACCGAGTCAGCTGGGCCTCTGGTTTTGACATCTTCTAGCTGTGTGTGTAGACAAATCAGTTAACCTCTCCGAGCCTCAATATCCTCATCTGTAGACTGGGAATACTAAACACTTCTATCTCAGATTCTGTGAAGACATAATTGGCCAATGAGCCTAAGGCTCTTAGCACAGTGCTTAATTCATATTAGCTGTGTCCACTATCCTGATGGTCTAGAAGCCTGGAGGGATGGGGGGTCTGAGATGGTCTGGCTGAAAAAGCCCCCAGCTCATCTCCTCTGAGCCACAAGGTGCTGCCTGTCAGACGTGGGCAAAGCAGCAGGGGCCTGGCCTCCCACCCCGCCATGCTGAGGTCCCAGCCCCCACTCTCACCTCTGCTGTCATCTTGGCAATGAGCCCAGCAGAGATGGCTCCACTGAGCACATTCCTCCTCAGGCTGGGGTTCCTGGGGTCCTTGAGGTTGCTGATTCGGCTGCGCACTCGGTTCCGGTACTTCATGTCTGTGCTCTTGAGCTCCTGGTAGATATGTGACACGGTCAAGGACCAGCGAGCCACTCATGGAGGGGCACAGAAGGACAGGGAGTCACTCACTCCCTGAAGCCCGAGGAGCCCCAGGACCATCTGTTCCTCTCCTTGGACTTGAACAGGGATTGGGCATCTATGTGGCCTCTGACTCCCAGAGTGGGGCTCTCGCTCGGGCATTTGGGGTCAGCTATGCATCAGGGACAGGAAAAAGCTTCCATGGTGAGATCAGGCCATAGCAAGCTCTGTGGTGTCAGGGACCCCAGGGATGGGCTTCCTGGGTCTGTCTGAGTCCTTTGAATAACTCAGATGAATCACATTTCTTTTTGCCTCAGTTTCCTTATTTATAAAATATGGGGCTATTCTGAGGATTCAGCAAGCTACACCTAGCATGATGCACCAGCCTGGTGTCTGGGACATCACGTGCTCAACATTTAGGGCCTGGTAAGATGAGGACAGCGATAAAACTCATCCTGTTTCAAAAGGCCTCTGGAACCAGCTATCAGAGGAAAACATAAGATTAGGAGCCTCATGTCAAAGGCTCAAAGAAGTATTGCAATCAAGACACCATTTTGTTCAATCTTCAGTCGTGTTCCCAAGATAGTCGAGCACAGATCCACCTCCCCCCCTACCACCCCCTTTTCCCCTAGGAATACCTAGAAGCAGGTCATGGAACCCACTTTGGGAATTGCTGGTCAGAGTTACTTCTCTCATTAATAGATAAGGAAGCTAAGGCTTGGGAAGGATGCGGGCCCTGCTCAAGGTCACAGGGCAGATTCCCGGCAGAGACAGGGCTGGAAGCCAAACCCCCTCCTGCCAGTAAGGCTCCCTCCGCTACCGCCGCAGGAAGTCGCCCCTGACCACCGGCCACAGGGACTTCTCTTCCCGGGCGGGCGGGCGCAGCATCCCAGATAGGTCGCCCACCCCGCCTCCCTTCTCTAGGCTCCGGAGGAGCCCAGGGAACACAACGCATTGTCTTGATCTCCTCTGCCAAGCAGAACCAGGAAGACAAACCCTTTGCTGGGAAAAGCCATATACGAGAAAGAGACTGTGGGGAATATGGACACATGGAACAGCTGACTTGCTAGAAGCGGTGGGAGGGAAGTGGTGTCATCTATTTTGTCTGTTATTGCTGTTTTAATGTTTGTATAATAACAACATGAAAAGAAAGAATACACCACAATGCATGTAAAAGCCAAAAATTTTGTTTAAAAAAAATCTGTGTTTGGGGGCAGCCCCGATGGCCCAGCGGTTTGGCGCCGCCTTCAGCCCGGGGTGTGATCCTGGAGACCCAGGATCGAGTCCCATGTCAGGCTCCCTGCATGGAGCCTGCTCCTCCCTCTGCCTGTGTCTCAGCCTCTATCTCTCTCTCTCTGAGTCTGTCATGAATAAATAAATAAAATCTTAAAAAAATAAATCTGTGTTTGGGATTCCTGGAGGTGTGAATCTGCTTGATAGGTGGGGACAGCAGGCCTGGCAGTACTGTCAGCAGCCTCTTCCTGACTCTGTCTCTGTTTCCTGAGATCCCAAGGCAGGACGAGGTGGAGCACAGGCCCTGGGGTCACTGACCCCTTCAGAGGTACGGTAGTGCGAGGTCACTCCAAACAGGGCAGATCTTTTTAGGACAGAGAGCATTCAAGCCCTGGAGCTTATCCTCCCCCTCACCCTCACGTCCCATCCTCTAAGAACAAAGAGGTAAAGGGCTTAATACAGCTCTGATTTCCTGTCCTTCAGAAGAGGGAGGAAGGGAAGGAGGAAAGGCCAAGAGTGGTACCGGGTACCAATCGCTGGCCTTTGTTTCAACCTGGGCTTGAAGGTAGAAGGGACCTGTTTGGAGGAACCACCACTTGGAGAGGATAAAGATGAAGCTCAGGGGACGCGTGGGTGGTTCAGTGGTTGAGCATCTGCCTTGGGCTCAGGTTGGGATCCTAGGATCCTGGGATCAAGTCCCACATCGGGCTGCTTCTCCCTCTGCCTCTGCCTCTCTCTCTCATGAATAAATAAATAAAATCTTTAAAAAAAAAGATGAAGCTCAGGGTTTTGATACCTTGTGCTCTGTGTTCCTGAATCAACTGGGACTGATGAGAATGTACTTGGTGACGTGTTGGACAGCCCAAGATGCGCTGGTTAATAATTAAATGATGGTGGAGGGGACTTCCCAGCAAGCACGTCTGAGGATATACAGGTAGGCCTCACACAGGACGTGGCAGCAGGTGAGCTTGTTGACCATGGTCAGACCAGACTGGACCAGGGACCCTCCCCAGCAGACCTGATTGAGCTCCCTGGGTAGCCCAGGAGGCTTAAAAGGGTCACTCACATCTTAAAAGGGTCACTCATATCTCTGTGATACTCAGAACCCCTCTCCCTGGGAGATTTGTCCCCCTCCTTCTACATCCCTTTGAGATGCAAAGCTTTATTTCTCCAGCAAAAGATATTCCATTCATTCATACAGTGGGACACTGCAGAGGGGGATTTTCTTCCCCAAACAACACTCTTTTGGTGCAGGGGGCCCACATGACTCGGTGGTCACCTCCTCTGTCTACAAAGCCCCCTTGCAAAGAGGGCAAAAACTCAGGACATGGAATCCAAAGGCCAGGGTTTTCAATCAAGCCGTGACACCCAGTAGTTCTGAGCCTCAGTTTCCTTATCTGTAAAATGGAAACAACAGCCTCTGCCTCCTAGAGACTGTGAGAATTGCCAGAAGCAGGAAGCATCAATTGCCCATCAGTGTCTGGTATGTAGTTGGGACTCAACCTTCAGAGGATGGAAGAGAGGAGAAGGCAGAGGATGAGAAAGGCTGCACTCCCTGTCGACTCTGATACTTGACGTCGCAACACAGCCAGGTGACAATGTGGCCTGTCTGGCACAGGGACTGAGCTCTCAGGCTCTGGAGTCACACTTTCTGGGTTCAAATCCCAACTCAACCACTACTGCCAGCTGTATCAGCTTTGGCAAGAGACCTAACCTCTCTGAGCCAGTGGCCTCCCTTGTAAAATGGGATTCATCAGGGGACCTACCTTGTGGGATTGTTCTCAACCTTGAACGAGGTACTGCTTCTAAACAGCTTAGCAAGAGGCTGGCAGGTGCAAGACTTAATACATGTTAGCTAGAATTAAGAACTCTGGTTCAGAGGCAGAGCAGGGGGATGTCCCCAGGACCCTTCCCCTCCCCTTCAGTGTCCCGGGTCCCTTGCACTTGGGAGCCCCTGCTGCTGGACAGTCCAGGCACCCACAGCCCTGGCACAGCTCAAGGATATGATCTTCGATTTCCGATGCCATCTTGTCACAGTTGACTCCATAGTCCTTGTAATCATCTAAAAGAGATTTGGGAAGCACAGGTGTCAGCCAGACATGACGTTGGCAGTGGCGCCTGCCCGTACAGGGCCCTGCAGTGTCCTGTACCACTCCTGAGAAAGCCCGCATCTCATCTGCCCTTGGGAAACCCTTCCCTCCTCCACGCCTGGCCCAGGCCCTCTCACCTTCGGCCTTCAAGGCTGCTGAGAGCATCTCCACACACTTGTCCCGCACAGAGTCCCCTGTGAGATAGCAGGGTGCCAGGAGGCAGACGGAGGGGGCAAAGGTGGGGGTCGAGGGGCTGGTGGGTGTTTTGGGGGTCTCTGCTTTTGATTTGCTGCTGTTTGATCTGAGGATGACAAACAGAAACAGACATTCTGACATTAAGCTGATAAAGCCTTCACTAAGCACCATTCTGGATGTTTCCATGGGTGAGCTCCCTTAATCCTCATGACAACCCCATGAGGTAGGTGCTATTTTTAGGCACTTGACATGGATCATCTCATTTAATTCTCACAACGACCCCATGAGGCTACCTGCTATTCATATCTCCATATTAGGCTTGCATTTTAATTTTTTTTAGAATTTATTTATTAATTCATGAGAGACCACACACCACACACGAGAGAGAGAGGAGAGAGAGAGAGAGAGAGAGAGGCAGAGACACAGGCAGAGGGAGAAGCAGGCTCCAGGCAGGGAGCCTGATGTGGGACTTGATCCTGGATCGTCAGGATCAGGCCCTGGGCTGAAGGAGGCGCTAAACCACTGAGCCACTCGGACTGCCCTAGGCTTGCATTTTAAAGTGAGTTGTAGAGACAGTCCCATTTAGGATAATTTGACTCCGGTCACACATCTGGAAGCCAGAACCTAAACCCAGGCAGTTGAACTCTGGTGCCCAGACTCTTAACCAATCACTCTGCTCTACTGGTTACAGAGTATTATCACGACACCCAAAACTATGCTACCGGGAAGCCTGGGTGGCTCAGCGGTTGAGTGTCTGCATTTGGCTCAGGGCGTGATCCCGGGATCCGGGATCGAGTCCCACGTCAGGTTCCTTGCATGGAGCCTGTCTCTCCCTCTGCCTGTGTCTCTGCCTCTCTCTTTCTCTGTGTGTCTCTCATGAATAAATAAATAAAACCTTTTTTAAAAAACTATGCTACAGTCTGTTAGACACCATGCTAGCTGCTCTCTCTACCATCTCATTGAACCACGTACTCACTCATTCAGTGAATATTTACTAGGTCATGTGCTAAGAACAAGGGGTAAAGCAGACAAGTCAGGAAAGCTCCGTCCCGCAAGGAGCTGACAGTCCAGTGAACAGTGAATTTACCACCACTGAAGAGGGCTGGCTTTTACCATGTGCCAGGCACTGCGCCAGGCACTTCAGGAACATTTTCTAATTTCTCATAGTAATCCTAGGAGGTAGAACTGTTCTCCTCCTCGTTTGCAGATGAGGGGAAACAGAGTTACACCGCTGAGATTTGAACCTAGGTCTGCCCGATTCCAAAGTCTACTCTTAACTCCTGTGATACAGTGCCTAGGAGTGACCTCATTTGGGTTTGGGCTTAAAAACTCACACACACAAAAAAAACAAACAAAAAAAAATCACAATACAGGGCAGCCCCAGTGGCGCAGTGGTTTGGCGCCGCCTACAGCCCCATGGTGTGATCCTAGAGACCCAGGATAGAGTCCCATGTTGGGCTCCCTGCATGGAGCCTGCTTCTCCCTCTGCCTGTGTCTCTGCCTCTCTCTCTCCTTCTGTATCTCTCATGAGTAAATAAAATAAAATCTTAAAAAAAAAACTCACAAATACAGGGCAGCCCGGGTGGCTTAGTGGTTTAGCACCACCTTCAGCCCAGGGTGTGGTCCTGGGGTCCTGGATTGAGTCCCACATCGGGCTCCCTGCATGGAGCCTGCTTCTCCCTTTGCCTGTGTCTCTGCCTTTCTGTCTCTCATGAATAAATAAATAAATAATAAATAAATAAATAAATAAATAATCTTTTTTTAAAAAACACTCATAAATACAGAAGCGTCTGCTTTTGGCTCAGGGCTTGATCCCAGGGGCCTGGCATGGAGTCCTGCATCGGGTCATGTGTGTACATATATACATACATGTACAGATGACTGGAGAGATAACTATGTGTCTTAAGCTTGGGCTGCATCCACCACAGCCTGGATGGTTCGTACAATAGATATCTCCCGCAGATCTGGAGACAGGGAAGTCTGAGGCCCAGGTGCTGCTAAATTCAGTTTTCTCCCTTGTAGACAACCTCCTTCTTGCTAGCTCCTCGCATGACAGAGGGTGAGCAGGTGTCTCTCTGAAGGACACTAATCCTATTGGATCAAGGCTCTACCCTCATGACCTCATTTAGCCTTCAGTACCTCTATAAAGGAAGGCTCTATCTCCCAATACAGTCAATTTTGGTGTTGGGGCTTCAACACAGGAACATTCAGACTCTAACACCTTATAATAGCAATTATCTCTCTGAGACCGGGTTACAGGAGATTTCAATCTCTTCTTATGCTTATCCATATTTTCTAAATCGTCTCTAAACAGTATATGTACTTTTGTAATGAGAAACACTTTGTTTTTTATTTTTTTAAGATTTTATTTATTTATTTATTTATTTATTTATTTATTTATTATTTATTTATTGAGAGTGAGTGAGAGAGAGCATGAGCGGGAGGGAAGGGAGAGCCATGGGGGTCAATCCCCAGGATCATGACCTGAGCCAAAAGGCAAATGTTTAACCAACTGAGCTACCCAGGCACCCCAATTTTTTTTAAACATCTGAAAAAAAATCTGATAATCAGGAGTTGCTACTCTAAGCTGATGGCTCAGATGGGTTTCCAGTCTTCCTGTTCTCAAGGAGCTAGCAGCAAAGGTGGAAGCAACTCAGGTATCCAGTGAAGATGAACAGATATCATGGGATATAATACAATGGCATATTTATTCAGTCACAAAATGAATGAAATCCTGAAATATGCTGCAACATGGGTGAACTGCCACGAATGGAGGACATTATATGTGAGATAAACCAAATACAAAAGGACAAATACTGTGTGATTCCACTTGTATGAAGTACCTGGAATAGTTAAATCCAGGGAGACAGAAAGTAGGATGGTGGCGTGGGTGGTGGAGGAAGGGGGAAATGGGGAATTAGCATTTAATGGACCAGAGTTTCAGTTTGGGAGGATGAGAAAGTTCTGGAGATGGATGGTGGTGGTGAGTATACAACGATGTGGATGTACTTAATGCCACTATACACTTAAAAATGGTTATAATGGCTAAATTTTATGTCATGTATACTTTGACAAAAAAAATCTATATAGGAAGCTCACTGAATAAGCATAACCATACAACTTGAAATATGCAATGATACCTAATCTGTTTTATATCTTTGGTAAATCTTAATGCATTCGAAATAACAAAATATCTTTTTTTTCCTATGGTGGAAAAAAGGTTAAAATACACATTTTGTTATATATATTTTATCACAATAAAAAAGTTAAAAAAAAGGAAGTACTGATATATGTGATATATAGGCTGAAACTCAGACTCTAGCTGCTGTTGGTCCCTCTCAAGTCCTTGCAAAGAGGGTGCTGGGCGATGGAAGAGGCATCCTCCAGCATCCCATTGGTGACCCGTGCCAATTAGTATCACCAGGCCAGCCCTTAGTAACCGCATGGCCTAAGAAAGAGGTCACACACTGCAGTGCAATGCAGTCCAACAAATTGCACAAGGGCTGGGGAGCAAGAGCTGCCTGCTGGAGGGGTGGACGGGAAAATGCACTCTTGGCAGAAATGCACAGACGTGGGAAACCTGGGGTTTGTATGGGCGATGTTCAGGGCAGCCGGAGTGTGAGGGGGGAGGGGGCTGGAGAGAAGGGACGCGACAGACTTGGGCTTGCTAATGAAGGTAAAAATCAAAGCCACTGTTTATTGCCTTTTTGCTATTTGTTGCTCTCCATAACCCTGCGAGTCAAGTTGCTGAACCCATTTCACAGATGAGAGGATGGAGTGACGGTTGCACAACTCCCTCCATTTCAGAGCTGCTCCTGCACTACTCTTGCGGTGGGTGCCAGGCAGTCAAGATGCCTCCACCTTTATCTCTTTCAGTAACCCATCAGGATCCGCCAGCCAGCCTACAGGCCTCCTAGGAAAAACTGACCAATGGTAGTTGAAGAAATTAGGGTCCTTTCCTACACACCAGAGTCTTAACCACTTTGAGCCCTTGGGGGAGGTCCCAAAGGGCTGCTGCATTTCTTAATTCCAGGGAGTGCTATTCATATTGTCAGCTGGGAACCTCCCAGAGTTGTACAGTGCACAGCGTGGGCAGCTGCACCAGGCAGCTCTGGAACGATGGATGTGCTTCAGGAAGAAGATGCTGAGCTTCTGAAAAGTCAGACCCACGGAGGCATGTCTGAGAGTGAAGCTGACTGAGTAGTCTAGGCTTTCCAGTGTTAAAACTCTGGGGTTATAAGATCCAACATCCAACATCCTGCTGGGCACTCTTCAATGTAGATTCCTCAGGAGAACTCCTTGTTCCTCAGCCCTTGCTGTTTGGCTTGACCTTGGATGCCCCCTGTCACCACAGACACCCTTGGATCACTGGGACTTTTGTGTTCTTTGGAACCTTGGGGCTCATCAAAGGTGCCCCAGTGCTGCCTCAGGACGAGGAGGTGGGTTGGGGAGGGAAGGCTCTGCTCTTGTAAGGTTTCTATTTTGAATTACGAATAATTTTGTTCAAAGGGATTTCCTAGCTTTATTTTATTTTTTTTCCTAGCTTTATTTTTTAAATGCAGTTTGAACCTTTCTGTTGTAGAGGCACTTACCCTGGATTCCACCCAACCCTGCCTGACAACTGAGTGGCCTGGCAGCAGGGCACAAGGTTGGGAATCTGCAGGAGTCAGATTTCAGTGGGAGGGAAAGCTGTGTGGGTGAGGGCAGGCTGGAAAAGGTGTAGATTCTAGAGCCTAAGGGGCTGCCTGCAACCCGAAGACATCTCCCTGCACCCAACCCTGATCCTGGCCACCAGGCTCTCACCTGCACAGGTGTAACTGCCCCGAAGCTGGTCTCCCAGCATCCTCTTCCCCTTATAACTCACTTGTCACACAGAAGCCTGGGGGAACCCTTTCAAAACCTCAACAGCATCAAGTCTAACTCTTCACCGTGGCCTCCCAGCCCCTCGACATTGGCCTCTGCCTCCCCTCTAACCTAATCTCATGCCATGCTCCCCTTCAGGTCACGGAAGACCCTCCCCCAACTGCTTCTTTCTCTTCCCTAACTACACTCCCCACACAGCCTATTCCTGCCCTGTAATTCCCTAGCACATCGTGACCTGGTTTC